ATTATGCTTAGGTTTGAAAGTTTATTTTTTAAAGATTTTTTTGGTAGACATTAAAGTTGATGAAGATTATTGTTGGATATAGCTAATATTTTGATATTCGAACTACCTATTATGTATCTTCAGCTTTAGGAGTTAATCCTAAATCCAAGTTAATCTAGAATTTAGTGATTGATAAAACTAGAAACCACCCGAAGGCTTTGAAAATAAAGTCACTTTCTCTAGGTGAACATTTTATACTATATTGTTTTTTGTTTGTTGATGAATTTTATGTGTAAAATGACTTGTTGTGCTTCCATTGGCTTGTTTTTTGTCCATTGATAATTTTTTATGCAAAATGACTTTCATTGTCACTATCAACTTATTTTTTGTTCATGAAAGAATTTTATGTGCAAAATGACTCGGCTTGTCGTTATCGGCTTATTTTTTGTTCATTGATTATTTATGTGAAAATAATTCATGATGACATTATCAATTCACTTAATTTTATAAAAAATATCTTTACAATACTATTATTGATTCTTAATGTTATAATGTTATGATATGACATGCTCGTTATTGGTTCACTTGATTTTATAAAAATGATCTTTGTGATATCGTTATCATTTGATTTTATAAAAAATAAATGATCTTTATGATGTTATTGTTTGTTTGTAATGTTTTTAATTCAATGATTTACAATCGCGTCGTCGTTTCATTCAATTTTACAAATAATAATAATAATAATAATAATAATCTGTGTTGCTATTATCGGTTTGTAATATTTTTAATCTTATGATTAGTAATGTCATTTTTGGTTCACTCGATGTTATAAAATCTCAAGTATCAAATGTTTTATATTTACTACACATTGCTTCATTATTTACTTTATTGTTTAATAAAGATATTATAGGATTGTTAGCAACCCAAAGCCTCTAAATACCAACCTTCACAAATTCAAAAACAAGCCTTTAAATATTAGGCTTTCAACCGGTCAGAACCTTTGAGAGATGCGAAAATCACAATATATTTTTCTTTTATAATAACAACAAACAAAGTATGATCTTTAAAAGATAAAGCCAAGCTCATCTCGGAAAAAAATAAAGAAATAAATTAAACAAATTACGATACATATTAATGCTTATGAATAGAGCACAAGAACAATAAGACATTTTTTTTTTTTTTGTAAACTTAGCAAAGATATCACATAAAATTTGTCCGTCTTTTCTCTTAATCGAAAATAGGAAATCCAAAATTTGAAGGGCCCTTGAACTGTTAGTATAGAAAATAAAAACAATAAAAAAACAACCTAAAACCTTTAAAAACTAAGAAATAAAAGCATGATATTTCCGGACTCTAAAATGTATAACTTTAACATTCAATTTCATGCCCTCCTATCAAATCCACTTATAGAGCCTTGTGTATAATTTATTAAAATGCAAACCTGGATTGGCCTAAAATCAAACAAACAACTCACACTACATACATGTGATGCTAGAAAAACAATTAATTCTAATCAAGATACATTTACTTACTAGTATTTCAAGCATCGACAAAGATTGTTGTATGAATTTTAGGATGATTCATGTGTTGAACCTTAATTTTTTATTCATCTCCATCTGCTAAGAATTTTATATAGATATTAATATAAGAAATGATTGCAAGCCATTCTTTGAGATCTTGGTATGATAGAGAACAAAACCTATCAGTTTAGATGCCAAATAGTTTCTACATTTTGACTTTATTCATTTTATTAATGTATGATATATCATACTTATACTTTGCACTTAAAAATACTCGGAAATCAAATCAAACAAAGTTTAACAAATATTTACAAATATTAAATAGAAAGAGATTAGTGTGAGTTATCAATTTTATTTTATTTTTAGCCATTATTGTGGCACCTCTATAACTAGTTTTAAACTCAAATATAGGTTTTTTTTTTGTCATCTCCAATTTTATTTTTTTGTTCGTTTATGAATTTTTTGTGCAAAAAGACTTGTTGTGCTTCCATTGGCTTGTTTTTTATCCATTGATAATTTTTTTTTATGCAAAATGACTTTCATTGTCCCTATCAACTTAATTTTTGTTCATGAAAGAATTTTATATGCAAAATGACTCGGCTTGTTGTTATCAACTTATTTTTTGTTCATTAATTATTTATGTGAAAATAATTCATGATGACATTGTTGATTCACTTAATTTTATAAAAAATATCTTTGCAATACTATTATTGATTCTTAATGTTATAATGTTATGATTTGAGATGTCGTTATTGGTTTACTTGATTTTATAAAAATGATCTTTGTGATATTGTTATCATTTGATTTTATAAAAAATAAATGATCTTTATGATGTTATTGTCTATTTGTAATGTTTTTAATTCAATGATTTACAATCCCGTTGTCGTTTCATTCAATTTTACAAATAATAATAATAATAATAATAATAATCTATGTGTTGCTATTATAAGTTTGTAATATTTTTAAGCTTATGATTTGCAATGTCGTTTTTGGTTCACTCGATGTTATAAAATCTCAAGTATCAAATATTTTATATTTACTACACATTGCTTCATTATTTACTTTATTGTTTAATAGAGATATTATAGTATTGTTAGCAACCCAAAATCTCTAAATACCAACCTTCACAAATTCAAAAATAAGCCTTTAAAAATTAGGCTTTCAACTCGGTTAGAACCTTTGAGAGATGCGAAAATCACAATATTTATTTCATTTATAATAATAACAAATAAAGTATGATCTTTATTAAAAGATAAAGCTAAGCTCATCTGGAAAAAAAAAAAGAAATAAATTAAACAAATTACGATATATATTAATGCATATGAATATAGCACAAGAATAATAAGATATATATATATATATATATATATATATATATATATATATATATATATATATATATATATATATATATATATAGTAAACTTAGCAAAGATATCACATAAAATTTGTTTATGTTCTTTCTCTTAAACCGAAAATAGGAAATCCAAAATCTGAAGGGCCCTTAAACCGTTAGTATAGAAAATAAAAATAATATGAAAACAACCTAAAACCTTTAAAAACTAAGAAATAAAAGCATGATATTTCCGAGACTTTAAAACGTATAACTTTAACATTCAATTTCATGCCCTCCTATCAAATCCACCTATAGAGCCTTGTGTATAATTTATTAAAATGCAAACTTGGATAGACCTAAAATTAAACAAACAACTCACACTATATACATGTGATGCTAGAAAAACAATTAATTCTAATCAAGATACATTTACTTACTAGTAATTTAGCATCGACAAAGATTGTTGTATGAATTTTAGGATGATCCATGTGCCAAACCTTAATTTTTTGTTCATCTCCATTTGCCAAGAATTTTATATAGATATTAATCTAAGAAATGATTGCAAGGCATTCTTTGAGATCTTGGTATGATAGTTTAGATGCCAAATAGTTTCAACATTTTGACTTTATTCATTTTATTAATGTATGATATATCGGACTTATGCTTTCCACTTAAAAATACTCGGAAATCAAATCAAACAAAGTTTGAGAAACATTTACAAATATTAAATAGAAAGAGATTAATGTGAGTCATCAATTTTATTTTATTTTTTTTTGTCTTCTCCACTTATAGCCATTATTGTGGCATCTCTATAACCAGTTTTAAACTCAAATATAGGTTTTTTTTTTTGTCATCTCTAACTTTATTTTTTTGTTCGTTGACAAATTTTATGTGCAAAAAGACTTGTTGTGCTTCCATTGGCTTGTTTTTTGTCCATTGATAATTTTTTATGCAAAATGACTTTCATTGTCCCAATCAACTTATTTTTTATTCATGGAAGAATTTTATATGCAAAATGACTTGGCTTGTCATTATCGGCTTATTTTTTGTTCATTGATTATTTATGTGAAAATAATTCATGATGACATTGTCGATTCACTTAATTTTATAAAAAATATCTTTTGAATACTATTATTGATTCTTAATGTTATAATGTTATGATTTGAGATGTCGTTATTGGTTCACTTGATTTTATACAAATGATCTTTGTGACAATCGTTATCATTTGATTTTATAAAAATAAATGATCTTTATGATGTTATTGTCTATTTATAATGTTTTTAATTCAATGATTTACAATCCTGTTGTTGTTTCATTCAATTTTACAAAATAATAATAATAATAATAATCTAGGTGTTGTTGTTATTAGTTTGTAATATTTTTAATCTTATGATTTGCAATGTCATTTTTTATTCACTCGATGTTATAAAATCATAAGATTTTATACTATCAAGTATCAAATGTTTTATATTTACTACACATTGCTTCATTATTTACTTTACTCGTTTAATAGAGATATTATAGGATTGTTAACAACCCAAAGCCTCTAAATACCAACCTTCACAAATTCAAAAATAAGTCTTTAAAAATTAGGCTTTCAACTCGGTCGGAACCTTTGAGAGATGCAAAAATCACAATACTTTTTTCATTTATAATAATAACAAACAAAGTATGATCTTTATTAAAAGATAAAGCTACGCTCATCTAGAAAAAAATAAAGAAAAAAATTTAAAAAATTACGATACATATTAATGCATATGAATATAGCACAAGAACAATAAGACCTTTTTTTTTTTTTTTTGTAAACTTATCAAAGATATCACATAAAATTTGTCTATGTCCTTTCTCTTAACCAAAAATAGCAAATCCAAAAAATGAAGGGCCCTTGAATTGTTAGTATAGAAAATAAAAACAATAAGAAAATAACTTAAAACCTTTAAAAACTAAGAAATAAAAGCATGATTTTGCCGGACTCTAAAACCTATAACTTTAACATTCAATTCCATGCTCTCCTATTAAATCCACCTATAGAGCCTTGTGTATAATTTATTAAAATGCAAACTTGGATTGACCTAAAATTAAACAAACAACTCACACTACATACATATAATCTCCCAAGTAGATGATATTTTTGGACCAATTCCTAACTCTAAGAGCCGCTATGATTAGTGACATCCCATTACATCACTCGCCTTCTCTTTGGCGACCACATCCTTCTTAGTGTTACTAGACATATAATCTCCCAATCCCATTGATATCCCATCCGACACCGGGTTTGTAAATCTAAGTACTAACACATCCACTACGGTCAAAGCGAGAATCGTGATTAATAACTAATCAAGATTTACACGACAATAAACATCATATATACACATAGACATACAACTATACAAGATAAAGTTAATTACCGGATGAACATTGACTTGCGGAGATGGAAGAAATGAGAGAAAAGCTAGTGACATGGCATCAAGTTCCGCATAAACAACACTCTTCACATGCTCTCCTTTCCATGGTTCGCTTGGTCTTTCTTCTTCATCTTGCCCACTTCTATATCCTCCATGTTCTGCCCTTAGCAACCTTGTAGTAGTGTTTGTGCCACCAACAATTTCAGCCATTCTTTCAATGCTACTCGTTACTAGGCAATATCAAGATCTTATTGTTTATGATATGATCTTTTCGTTTCTATATTAACTTTAGTATACATATTTGATTGATGATTTTAAATAGAAAGAGATTAGTGTGAGTCATCAATTTTATTTTATTTTTAGCCATTATTGTGGCACCTCTATAACTAGTTTTAAACTCAAATATAGGTTTTTTTTAGTCAAAAATCTAGAGTTTGAAAGATTTTTTTTTGTCAAAATTCCAATGTTTGAAAGTCTCATTCTTTGTGGCCAAATCAATATGTATTGCAAAGAAATAAGTATAACATCAAAAATGTCATATATGGATATATTGGCTTAACAAATATGATTTAGAATAAATTTACTCTTAATTTCCCCTTATAAGGCAACCTACATAATATATTGAATTTTTTTGTCCCAAAAGAGTTAGTAGTTTATTCTTCCTAACAATATCTTATATTTAGACCTCATTTTTGTTGACACAAAAAAATGCACAAAAGATCTTTCGCTGGTCTAGAAAGTACTAGATCATGGACAACACTAATATGAGTGTCAATCTATATATAATAAAAAATTAAGGTTATGATACAAAAAAAAGATGAAAATACATATATTATGAATCAAAATCGTAAAACTTGATAGGACTCCAACACTCTACTGTCTCCACTTTTGAAAAAGTATACTCGAATCAATCATGTGTAAAATGCAACACTTATAAAGGAAAAAAAATAAAATAGGATAAATAAAACATAATTTTAGATCATAGTATATAACAAAAAATATTTTAATTTTATCAAAAAAAGAGCCACAAGCAATACAAATGATGCAATTTATCAAAACATTTTGACTATCTTCAATTGCCATCTTTGCCACTTGATAACTTTCAAATATCTTCATTGCTTCACCGATAAGATTTCAAAGATTAATATTTCTATCACAAGAAGTACTAGCAAATTAAAGACAAAAAATAAAACTACAAATAAAAAAAAGTTATAGATAACCAAAAAATAACAAAGATTAACTTAGCAAAATACTAATCAATATTTGTTGAGTATAATGAAGTATATAGGGCTCTATGTCAAATGGACGAGGTGAATTTCTTGGTTCATAGTACTTCCAAACTCTATATTTTAATTACCGAGTCACCTACTTTTAAGTTCAGTGTTCTTGAGGTATTAGATAAGGAGATTTTTTTTCTTTTTACTTAACTTGGTTATTAAGGGAAAATCCTAGTAAATCTTAAAAGAATTCTAAAATAGTTTGAATTATGCTTACGTTTGAAAGTTAATTTTTTTAAAGATTTTTTTGGTAGGAAATAATGTTGATAAATATTACTATTCAGATATAGCTAATTTTTGAGATGTAAAGCTTGTTAACTACCTACTATATATCTTGGCCTTTAGGAGTTAATTCTACATCCAAGTTAATCTGGAATTTAGTGATTGATAAGATTACAAACCACTTGAAGGCTTAGAAAAGAAAGTCACTTTCCCTAGGTGAACATAGTTGTCTTCTACCCATGTTTATTGTCTTTCTCTTTTTAGATTACTAATTGGTGTAGTAAAAAAGATTTTGTAAGATAACATGGAAATTTCTAATAAATTCTAAGCGAAAACTAGGAATTAACCTTGGTTCTTTGATTGTAAAAAATAAGGCTCTCTTATTTAAGTAAATTTGGATTTTTAATAGATGTAATAACTCTTATTGGTGCAAATTTCTAAGATAGAAATATAAGCCAGAATTCATAAATGGCCTTCCAACTTTTAATTTTTCCTTTTCTTCCTATTAGGCTACAATTTTGCTCCTCTTATGATGTATATGATCAATGTGTTGCTTTGGTTAGGGAAAGAATGAGAAAACTTGTTGGAAATAGCTCGACTACTCTATTTTGGAGGGATTTATGGGTGGATCCTATGCTTTTATGTCATGCTTATCTTTCTCTATTTGCTTTAGCTGATGACAGATTATGTAAGGTTGCGTATTTGGATTTTTTGTGTGGTTTTTATTAGTTTTGAAAATTCATATAGAGAAGGCCTCTTTGTTTAAATGAGAGTAAACTAGAAGATTCACTTCTAGAGATTGTTTCTTCTATTTATCTACATAAAGGGTCTAAACATCGAGTTGTGTAGTTTTATGATGCAAAAGGTATTTATTCGATAAAGTCTTATTACTCTTTATTTAATAATCACTTGTTAACTGTGGATCCCATAATTCACTTTTATGATTGGTTAAACATTACTCCTCCTAAGGTTGAAATCTTTACTTGACTGGCAATTTTGAAGAAATTAAATACTACGGGTTCACTTGCCCCTAAAGGTATGATAGAGAGGAAGCCAATATTTATTCCTTTTGTAGTTGTATCCAGGAAACAATTGATCATATCATTTTTAACTGTGAATTTATATGGATTATGTAGTGTAGGTTTTTGTCTTGGTGGGATAGTACTTGGGTTATACCACGTTTAGTTGATGACTTATTTTAGAGATGAGAACTATTTTGTGATGGTCTAATATAGAAAGAAGTTTGGTTCCTAATTTTTTATGCAATTATAAGGTTAGGTTGCTTGACAAAGATTAATGATCTAGTCTTTAATGATAATATGTTAGATTGAAATCATATTTTTCACTCATTTTTTACATGACAACTTTGTAATTAAAATTTGTATATACCTATTTTATCTATATAGGAAATGATATCTAGCGGTGTTCGAATTGAATTAAGATGTGGGCTAATTAGCCTAGGTGCGGGCCACTAGTTATGTGGACTAAGCCTAATCTAGACTCTAGACTTTTTGAAATGAAGTATAAATCAATAACAAGCTTGGTGTGTCAAGTATTAGAGGTGTGTTAAAAAATCATAAGGTTTTTTCTTGTGTATTTTTTCTATTCCAACGAGAATAAAAAAGTCGAATGAGGTTAGGATTTTAGCTATTAAGAAAACTTTATAGATCAGTGTTTGATTCTATCCATACTTATTAGATATTTTGGATCATCAAATAAGATTAAGTTAATGTTATTGCTTTGACGAATAAAAAAGTTACATTAGATCTCGACAACTTTGAAGTTTTATTTTATTTTTTTTAACTCTAATGATGCTTTGACAAATTCTTTAGGTTTTATCTTCTTTAATCACTTTTTTTCCAAAAGCAAAATGACGTGGCTGATTTTTTCGCCAAAAAAAAAAAAAAAAAAATCTATTTATAACCAATGACTTTATAGCTTGATTATAGTGCTTTATTTATGAAAATCTCACTATCATGTAATAATTTTGTAATTTTATTTGCTATTATTTGGTTCTCTCTTTCTTAATCTAATATCTATTTTTATAAATAATAATAATAATAATATCCAATAAAGAACTTGTATTTACATTGTCTTGTCTTTTTGTTGATAAAACAAGTTGAAATATATTAAAACGAGAAAATCACAAGCCAAAAGTCACAGACCTTCCAGGATGTCAATTGATACAGTGACCAAAAAAAAAAAAAAACATAGGTCACAGCAGGTGGTATGTCGGGGAAATTAAAAAAAAGAAAAAACAAAAAAAGAAAAGGACGTGACTTGATCTCTTATAAGAAATAGCCATCCTTGTTAAGAGTTTGAGGATTGACATATGAGAGTGATGTAGTTGGGACTTGGGAGACGGAGAAATTATTGATTTGTTTTTTCAGCTGTGGACAAAACTATGGAAAGAGAAAGAAGACGTGAACTGAAATTTCTTTTTTTTTTTTTCCTTCAAGCCTAAGACAAAACGTCATAGTTTTAGTTCTTTTTTAGCAGGCAATCCAGAACAATATTAATCAAATTTTCAAAATGGTTAAAAACTCAGGTAAAATGGGGATTTTGATGGTTTTACCGATTTGACAACCTATCTTACTCCAATCTTATCCAAATGTGATTTTTTAATGCATTTCGAATCATTAATGTTGTTTCGAATTGTAAAATCATATGATTGCCAACATGCTAAATATACATTGATTTGATATGATTGGTTACACTCGAAGATAAAAAAAAAAAAAAAAAAGAAAGTTAAGTACGGAGTCGATACAGAAAGGGACCCCAGATTTAAAAAAAAAAAAAATGTTTTACTGAATTTGGCTTTGTATTTTTTTTTAATTGACTTCACATTTATTATATTTTTTTTAAAATTTATTTGAAGAAAACTTGCTTTCAAAATCAATTTATGCATAAATATTTCAAATGAATCACCTGAAAAAACATGCTTAGGGAGTTAATTGATATCTATCTATATATTTTTTTAGAAGAAATTGAAGTTTATAAAAACGCAGACATTTTCCATTAGTTTTGGTAATAGAAATGAATGACACATGACTTTATATATCCATAAATCGATGAAACATCAAGAAGATAATTAATAGAGAATAATATTTTAAAAAATAAAAATAGAACTCATTTATTTTATGGGGGTGAAATGAAATTAACCTTCATAACATAGAGTGAAAAACATGGTCAAGATGCTTCTTTTGCTGTGTGCCATTTTGCTTTGACGGTAACATCAACAGCAGCTAGAGGTGGTGGTCGACTCGTTAGTGGAGGATTTGCTGCTTCTGCATCTGGTACAATATAGAGTGAGGCCTCCTCATTTTCTTTGTGGTTTGATTCAATGTTAATCCACGACCTTCTCTAATGGTTTAGCTTCATTTTCTTTTTAAAGGTCTATTAGTTTTCTTTTGTTGCTAAATTATTTGTAAAGAAAGAGTGGCTAGGAATGACTTTATTGTCTATGAGAGTGGTGATATGTAATTGCTCTATAAGGATACCAGATTTTAATAATTTTTTTTTAATTGAGTACATAAACTATATTTGTTTTTTTTTTTTTTTGAGTTTACTAACTTTTTTTAAGCAGCCAATCAAGTATTTTGTATCTAACTTATTTTCTTCATACTATTAAATTATGATTTAGGAACTTTTTCTCATAAATTATTTTGGAATTTTTCACCTTTTGTATTGTACATTCTAAATTATCCTTGT